ATGCTACTCAATTTTATCTACTGGAGAGAAAGCACCATGTCTCTTTACAAAGCAGAGTGGAAAACAAACTATTCAAGGGCCACAAGGTGGTGCTATTTATACAGTAATGTGATGACATTTTTGTTATACATTTTTTTTTTTTTTAAGATAGGGTGAGGTCTTACTATATTGCCTAGGCCAGTCTCAACTTCCTGGGCCCACGTGATCCTCCTGCCTCAGCCTCCCAAGTAGCTGAAACAACAGGTACTTTTTTTTTTTTAATGGTGTTTTGCTCTTGTTGCCCAGAGTGCAATGGTATGATCTCAGCTCACTGCAACTTCCACCTCCTGGATACAGGCGATTCTCCTGCTTGTATCTCCTGCCAAAGCCTCCAGAGTAGCTGGGATTACAGGCAATTGCCACCAAGCCCGGCTAATATTTTTTTATTTTTAGTAGAGACCAGGTTTCACCATGTTGGCCAGGCTGGTCTCAAACTCCTGACCTCAGGTGATCTGCCTGCCTTGGCCTCCCAACGTGCTGGGATTTCAGGCGTGAATGACTGTGCCCACATTTTTTTTTTTTTTTGAGACACAGTTTCACTTACTGCTCAAGCTGGAGCGCAATGGCATGATCTCAGCTCACCACAACCTCTGCCTCCTGTTCAAGTGATTCTCCGGCCTCAGTCTCCCGAGTAGCTGGGATTGATTACAGGCATGTGCCACCATGCCTGTATAAATTTGTACTTTTAGTAGAGACGGAGTTTCTCCATGTTGGTCAGGCTGGTCTCGAACTCCAGACCAAAGGTGATCCTCCCACCTCCGTCTCCCAGAGTGCTGGGATTACAGGCATAAGCCACCGCACCTGGCCACAACAGGTACTTTTTGAAGCAAATTAAAAGCTAGCAAAATGGAATCTTTAGTTCTTTAGAGTTTTATATATGGTATCATTCAAGTAGACTCTTGTTTCCAGAGAAAACAACCATGTGTACAATTGCTTCCGTACAGTTCCAGAATGAACATCCTACAGTTTCTGAGAAGAACATTTGTTGGCCAATCTAGAAGGTCACTGTGATGGTTAAGATTAAGTGTCAACTTGATTGGATTAAAGGATGCAAAGTATTGTTCCTGGGTGTGTCTGTGTGAGTGTGTTGCCAAAGGAGATTAGCACTTGAGTCAGTGGACTGAGAGAGGCCGACCCGCCCTCAACGTGGGTGGGCACCATCTAATCATCTGCCAGCAGGGCTAGAATAAAGCAGACAGAAGAAGGTGGGATGAACCGACTTGCTGAGTCTTCCAGCCTTCATGTTTCTACTGTGCTAGATGCTTCCTGTCGTTGAACACTGGACTCCAAGTACTTCACCTTTTGGACTCTTAGACTTACAACAGTGATTTGCCAGGGGCTCTCAGGCCTTCAGCCACAGACGGAAGGCTCCACTGTTAGCTTCCCTACTTTTGAGGTTTTGGGACTGGGACTGGCTTACTCGCTCCTCAGCTTGCTCATGGCCTACTGTGGGACTTTGCCAGATGGTGTGACTCAATACTCCTTAACAAACTCTCCTTCATACATACTTCTATCCTATTAGTTCTGTCCCTGTAGAGAACTCGGACTAATACAGTCACTCTGAACCAAACCTGACTAATACAATCACCCTGAACCAAACTAAAACAAACAAACAAAAACAAAAACCACAAAACCAAAACCTAAAAACTTTCTCTTAGCCTCAGCGCTACAGACTTGACTAATCCAGCTCAGGTGCTCCTCTTGGGTGCTGTAAGAGCACCTTACTATAAAGTCATTTATTCATGATTCTACTGGACTATAAACTTCTGGAGCACAAGGACCATAGAATTCGATATTGCACAGTGGTTAGGCCACAGGCTTTGAAGTCAGACAGACCTGGCACCTCGTCTGAGCCTTGCAACTTCACAGGCTGTTTCCTCAGGTAAGTTACCTAGCCATTCTCATCTTTTGTTTCTACATTTGTGAAACAAGGATGTTATCTCATCCCTGGGTTGATCATGAGGATTAAGGAAACAAAGCACTTAATGTAGTACCCGGCACATAATAATGCAGAACAAATAATAACTACTATTAGTGAAATGAGGCATCTTAGAATTCTGAGTACCTGCCATATAGAAGGTACTGAAAAACTATTTGGTAAATAAATGAAAAACTGAAGTAAACCAGCAGAATGGTCTTTTTCATGTACAATTTAATTTTTTATTCTATTTTACATGCTGAAGTTATAAATTGGCAACTTGTTTTTCTTTTAAATACTTCATTAAGGGATGATAACTATTAATCCAACTAGAGAAACAAAGTTAATAAAGATAATTACAGTCAAACTTTGTGTTCATGGAGAAATGTTAATTCTCCTATACCATGGTAAATTCTCAAGCCAATTTTTCTACTGAAGCCTGTTACAGATGAAGTTTTCCAGAGCATTTTATTCTAGATACAATGAATCCATCTAAAAACAAGAATTCTACCTAAAGGCAGTATGCACAAAGTGTTCAGGTCAGTCAGGACTCACCTTATGGAGCCTAGAGATAAGCCTTCTTATTCCCTTCAGCATTGTCCTTGGACTCTTAAAAAAAAAAGAAAGTGAACAGGTAAACCAAAAATGGGAAAAGATATTTGCAACATGGAAAACTGACAATGAATTAATATGGATTCATAATCTACATTAATATCTAAAATATATAAAGAATGCCTATAGCTTCATAAAGAAAAATGAGCAAAAGACACAAACAGGTATTTCACAGAAAAGATAACTCAAAAGGCTAGTGAACCCATGAAAAGATTTTTGAACCTCATTACAAATCAGGGAAATGCTAGCTAAAATGATGACAATCAGATACCATTCACAACCACCATACTGGGAAAATTAAAAGGTCAGGTGGGACACAGTGGCTTACGCCTAAAATCCCAACACTTTGGAAGGAATATTTTGGGAGGCTGAGGTGGGTGGATTGCTTGAGCCCAGGAGTTCGAGGCTGGCCTCAGCACCAAAGTAAGACCCTGTCTCTACAAAAAAACATAAAAATTAGTAGGGCATAAGAGTGTATGCCTGTAGTTCCAGCTACTCAGAAGGCGGAGGCAGAAGGATTACTTGAGCTCAGAAGGTAGGGGCTGCAGTGAGCTGAGATTGTGCCACTACACTCCAGCATGGATGACAGAGTGAGACTGTCTCCAAAAAAAAAAAAAAAAAAAAAAAAGGGGGGGGGGGGGGCGGGGACCAGGTGTGATGGCTCAGGCCGGTAATCCCAGCACTTTGGGACGCCAAGGCGGGCAGATCACTTGAGGTCAAGAGTTCGAGACCAGCCAGGCCAACATTGTGAAATCTCGTCTCTACCAAAAAATATTTTAAAAAATTAGTCAGGTGTGGTGACACGCGCCTGTAGTCCCAGCTACTCTGGAGGCTGAGGCAGGAGGATTGCCTGCATCTAGGAGGTGGAGGCTGCAGTGAGCCAATATAGCACCATTGTACTCTAGCCCAGGCAACAGAGTAAGACTCTGCCTCAAAATAAATAAATTCATTCATGAGAAGAAAACTAAAAAGTCAGAAAACAGCAAATGTTAAATAGGCTGTGAAACATTTCACTGTATTAAATTTTCATACAATGTCAATGAAAGTATAAATACAAACATCTTTGCAAAGTTGAAAATGCACAAGCCTGGCCGGTCACAGTGGCTCACATCTGTAATCCTAGCATTTTGGGAGGTGAGTGGATCACCTGAGGTCACAAGTTGGAGACCAGCCTGGCCAACATGGTGAAACCCCATCTCTAATCCCAGCTACTCAGGAGGCTGAGGAAGGACAGTTGCTTGAACCCAGGAGGCAGAGGTTGCAGTGCGCTTAGACTGTGCCATTGCACTCTAGTCTGGCCAACAAGAGCAAAACTCTGTCTCGAGAAAAAAAAAAAGAAAATGCACAAGTTGGCTGGATGTGGTGGCTCACACCTACAATCCTCGTACTTTGGGAGGCTAAGGTGGGCAGATCACCTGAGGTCAGGAGTTTGAGACCAGCCTGGGCTGGTGAAACCCTGTCTCTACTAAAATACAAAAAAAATAAATAAAAATTAGCTGGGGGTGGCAGCATGCACCTGTAATACCAGCTACTAGGGAGGCTGAGGCAGGAGAATCGCTTGAACCCAGGAGGCGGAGGTTGCAGTGAGCCGAGACTGCACCACTGCAATCCAGCCTGGGCAACAAGAGTGAAACTCCATCTCAAAATATTAAACTAAATTTTTAAAAACTTTTACATGTACACTGGGAAATATATATAAGGATGTTCATACTAGCAGAGTATGAATTATTAAAAAAAAAACAACTGTGGAGAAACCAAATGTCCCTTAGTAGAACAGTAGAGGCAGTCATACAAGGGAATATTAGAAAGCAATTAAATGAAAAAATTACCATTGCATGCATGCATCAACATGGATCTCAAAAATGAATATTGAGTGAATAATACTACATCTGGCATGATATATAAAATTCAAAACCAAAAAGCTTCATTAATTATTTGGGGGACATAAACAGGAAAACTGAAACAAAAAGGCAAGAGAATAATAAGAACGACATTTAGTATAATGGTTACTTCTGGGGAGAAAGGAAAGGAAAAAAGATTGAGGTAGAGCACACAAGGAAATTGATAATAAACTATTACTAATACTGGACAATGGATACATGAGTATTATTTTCATACCATGTGTATTATATTTATTCTTTTGTATGTAGGACATATTTAAAAGCCCAAATCTTTTGGAGCTAAGAGGTTTAAAATACTTAAATGTAACTCTCAATATCCAGTAGTTATAGGATAACTGAATTAAATGTCTATATAATTAATTAGTTCATTTTGGCTGTCAATTTTTTTGTTTTGGTTTCATTTTTTTGAGACAGAGTTTCACTCTTGTTGCCCAGACTGGAGTGCAATGGCATGATCCCAGCACACTGCAACCTCAGCGTTCAAGCAATTCTGTCTCAGCCTCTCGAGTAACTGGGATTACAGGCACCTGCTACCACGCCCAGCTAATTTTTGTATTTTTAGTAGAAATGGGGTTTCACAATGTTGGCCAGGCTGGTTTCAAACACCTAACCTCAGGTAATCCTCCCATCTTGGCCTCCCAAAGTGCTGGGATTACAGGTGTGAGCCACTGCACCCTGCCCCTTTGGCTATCATTTTCACCTGTTAAAATTTTATTTTATTTTTATTTTTTCTTGAGGCGAAGTCTTGCTCTGTCACCCAGGCTGGAGTGCAGTGATCTTGGTTCAGTGCAACCTCTGCCTCCCAGTTTCAGACAATTCTCCTGCCTCAGCCTGAGTAGCTAGGATAACAGACATGCACCTCCACATCCAGTTAATTTTTGTACTTTTAGTAGAGACGGGGTTTCACCATGTTGGCCAGGCTGGTCTTTGAACTCCTGACCTCAGGTGATCATCCCACCTCAGCCTCCCAAAGTCCTGGGATTAGAGGTGTGAGCCACCATCCTTGGCCCACCTTTCTTATAACCAAAATCTTTAAAGTAACAACAGTAACAACCTAGAGTTGCAACCAATTAACCCAACAGTTACTGGGCACCTACTGTGTGTCAGGCCTTGTGAATAAAATGGTGAACAAACTATTATAGTCCCTGATCTTATAGTCAAGGAATTTATAGTACAGTCAAGAGAATCACATGGGCTGGGCACGGTGACTCATTCCTGTAATATCAGCACTTTGGGAGGCCGGGGTGAGAAGACTGCTGGAGCCTAGGAGTTTGAGTCCAGCTGGGAAAACCACAGTGAGACCCCCCCACCCAAGTTCTGCAAAAAAAGAAAAAAAAAGAAAAAAGAAAAAAAATTAATTAGGTAGCCATGGTGGTACAGGACTGTAGTCCTAGCTACTTAGGAGGGTGAGGCCAAAGGATTACTTGATCTCAGTTGTTCAAGGCTGCAGGGAGCTATGATCATGCCACTGTACTCCAGCCTGCATGATAGTCAGATCTGGTCTAAATAAATAGATAAATAAATAAAAAGAGGCTGAGTGCAGTGGCTCATAGCTGTAATCCTGGCACGCTGGGAGGCCAAGGTAGACAGATTGCCTGAGCTCAGGAGTTCGAGACCAACCTGGACAACCCCATCTCTACCAAAATATAAAAAATTGGCCTGGCATGGTGGTGCACGTCTGTAGTCCTAGCTACTCAGGCGGCTGAGGCAGGAGAATTGTTTGAACCTGGGAGGCGGAGGTTGCAGTGAGACTGAGACTGCAACATTGCAATCCAGCCTGGGTAACAGAGCAAGACTCCATCTCAAATAAATAAATGAATAAATAAATAAAAAGAGAAACACATAAACTCCTTTAATTTTTATTTCCTTTTAGTTTTTTCTTTTTTTTATTTTTTTTTGAGACAGGGTCTCACTCTATTGCCCAGGCTGCAGTGCAATGGCAGGATCACAGCTCACTGTAGTCTGCAACTCCTGGGTTCAAGTGATCCTCCTGCCTCAGCCTTTCAAGTAGCTGGGAATATAGGTGCCAATGCCTGGCATATTAAAAAAAAACATTTTTTTTTTGGGTAGAGATAACCCTTGCTATGGTTCCCAGGGTGGTCTTGAACTCCTGAGCTCAAGTGATCCTCCTACCTCAGCTTCCCGAAGTGCTGGGATTACAGGCATGAGCCACCATTCTCTGCTTAAACTTTATCACATTTGTTATTTTTCTTGAAGCAGGGTCTTGGTCTGCCACCCAGGCTGGAGTACAGTGGGACTGTCACAGCTCACTGCAGCCTCAAAATCCCCTCCTCAAGCTATCCTCCCACCTCAGCCTCCCAAGCAGCTGGGATTACAGGCAAATGCCACTATGCCTGTTTTTTTAATTCTGTAGAGACAGAGTCTTGCTACGTCGCCAGGGCTGGTCTTGAATTCCTAGACTCAAGCAATCCCCCCATCTCTGCCTCTCAAAGTTCTGGGATTACAGGTATGAGCCATCGCACTTGGCCATAAATACACTGTTTTGTTTTTTTTGAGATGGAATCTCACTCTGTCGCCCAGGCTGGAGAGTAGTGGCGTGATCTCAGCTCACTGCAATCTCCACCTCCCAGTTTCAAGCAATTCTCCTGCCTCAGCCTCCCAAATACCTGGGACTACAGCCACCTGCCACCACACCAGCTAATTTTTGTATTTTTAGTAGATACAGTGGCTCTTACCAGTGGTCCTAGCTACTTGGGGAATTGAGGCAGGAGGACTGCTGGAGCCTGGGAGGTTGAAAGTGCAATGCACTCCAGTATCACGCCACTGCACTCCAACCTGGGTGACAGAGTGAGACCCTGTCTCAAGAAAAAACTTGTCAAGCTGATACGGTTTGGCTGTGTCCCCACCCAAATCTCATCTTGAATTGTAGCTCCCATAATTTCTATATCCTGTGGGAGGTACTGCATGGTAGATAATTGAATCATGGTGGCAGCTTCCTCCATACTGTCTGTGTGGCAGCGAATAAGTCTCACAAGATTTGATGATTAAATAAGGTGTTTCCCCTTTCGCCTGGCTCTCATTCTCTCTTGCTTGCTACCACGTAAGATGTGACTTGCTCCTCGTTGCCTTCTACCA